TTTCCCTTATGTTCCATTTCCTACCCTCCCCTGCCCCAGGGCTTTCACTGGACATGACCCTGCTTCTCTTAATTGGTTTCTCCCTTTTTTGTTCTCCATAGTGGACAGAGTTCACAGACCGAACTTTGGCCCGTTGCCCTCACTGCAGAAAAGTGTAAGTGATTGGAGAGTGGCATTGTTGAGCTAGTAATTGTTAACATGTTCAGCAAAACCTATAGGGCCATTGCAAACATCCGTTCATTTGCCGCCCCACAGGTCATCTATTGGGCGCAGATACCCACGAAAGAGATGTATCTGCTGCTTCTTGCTTGGCTTACTTTTGGCCGTCACTGCCACTGGCCTTGCTGTGAGTAAACTTGATCCAACCCCTCTCGTTCTTCAGCCTCATCTCCACAGCCTAAGATTTGGGAAATGGCTACCCTAAAAACAGTGAAAGAAACTGAGGGGTTTTTGTTTGTTTTGTCTTGTTTTAATGTCTAGGTGAGCCGAAGTCAAAGGTAACGGATAATTTTCATTGTTACTATGGGAGTAAACAGCCGTCTTCTTTATGCAGAAGATAGGGCAATGGAGAAGTGGGTTAAATTAAGAGTTGCTGTTAGGAAATCTGGCTCACCTGTCAGACACTAAGAAAAACTGACAGATGTGTGGGATTGTATGACTTATGTACCTGCCTAGGGGAAGGGAGCAGAACTGGGCCTTTAAGAAGGTCCCTGAAAGTGGATATGCATGGATAGGGGACCAGGGATTGAAGCTTCCATTCTGTACTGGGGTTTCTGGAAAGTGGTCAGAAATCAACAGTAACCCCATCTTTCTTCCCTCGTCAGTTTGGCACCTGGAAGCATGCACGGCGATATGGAGGCATCTATGCAGCCTGGGCACTTGTCATCCTATTGGCTGTGCTGTGTTTGGGCCGGGCCCTCTATTGGGCCTGTATGAAGGTCAGCCACCCTGTCCAGAACTTCTCCTGAGCTCCACAATGACCCACAGACTGTGCCTGGCCCCTCCCTGGTGGGGACAGTGACACTACAAAGGGAACTGTGGTAAAAGGCTCCCTCGGCTTCTGTAAGGAGAGCCAAGCAGCTGCCTTCCTTTTCCCTGGGGAGAGGTAGGAAGGAACCAGGCCCTCACGTAGGTTTGGAGGGGTAGAGAAGACCACTGCTGGCCATCTGCTTTCCTCCAAGGGCTGCTGTGTTTAGGGTGAAATAGGCACAATGTTGCCCCTAAACCTGGGTCCTAAAAGAGGGTTCTAGCCTTGTCCTTCCTAATATGCTCCCTGAGAGCCATTCCTGTCCCTTAAACATTCCAGGGCAGGGTGGCTGTGGGTAGCCCTGGGGGTTCCCTCCCTCTTGTGCACCATTAGGACCTTGCTGCTGCTATTGCACTTCACCAGGGGCAGGCTCTGGCCTCAGTACCCTCAGTCTCCTCTCCCCCCATTCCGTGTCCTGGGGGGGTGGGGTCAGCCGCTGCTCTGTACAGAACCACAGGAACTTATGTGTATATAACTATTTAATGTGGGGTATGTTCCCTTAGTCCTGTATTTCCCTTAATTCCTCCTTCCAACCTTACCCCCTAGTTGCAGTGTTTAACTGGGCTGGGTAGGGTTGCTCTGTCTTGGGGGAGGCTAGGGATTCATCCTGTGCTTGTAAATAAATAAGGTCATGACTATCCTTTTCCAGTTGTTTATCTTTGTATGTGAAAAAACAAGGAGGGGAATTTGTAGCCCCACAAAGGGGTAGAATACAAAGACAGCAAGGCTGGAACTATGGCTCTTTATTTCATGTGGACAATTCAAAGTCATCAGTAGCTTTTGTTTAATGTAAAAAAAAAAAAATTTGGGTTTAAAGAAAAGCATCAGTAGGAGCCTGGTTGAAGGATTTTTAGAAGGGAAATACAGTGCAGATATCTCTAGAGAGCATTTTTAAAGAAGTTTAGGGAGGTTAAGTTTTAAAGCTAGCTTGGGGCCAAGGCTTATTTCCCAGGTTTAAAGTAATTTGGGGGCGGTGTCACAGTGCTAAGTATAGAGTGATAGGACAGTGGTCACTGCCCAGGGCCTTGGAACGGATCTTGCTGTCACACAATGCAGGTAACAGCGAGTGAGACAACAAAAAGTAATCAAGGCGCCAACCAACATTTTTGGATCGAGCATTCATCATGTAGGTCCAAAAGGTATAGGCATAAGCTGTGTTGGGGTAGAGGTGCCGGAAACTGTCAGCCAGTGGCACGGCCTGTAGTAATTCCCCAAAGCCTTGACGCTCTTGTGGAGTGAAGCCAGCATTCTTTTTGTTTCCCTTGGGGTTGCGAAGGTCAATTTCTTCATGAGCCACATTGAGGTCCCCACATAGCACAAGGGGCTTGCGGGAAGCCAAACCCTTCAGGAACTTGCGAAAGGCTTCATCCCAGCGCTGCCGGTACTCCAAGCGTACCAGACCTCGGCCTGCATTAGGTACATAGGCTGTTACTAGCACAAACGTGTCAAATTCAGCCACGATCACTCGGCCTTCCTGATCATGTTCCTCCTCACCTACAGAAACGATGAAACAAAATCAGCATAAAAGAGTGTAAGGGGTGCCCGGATGGCTCAGTTGTTAAGTGTCTGCCTTCAGCTCAGGTCATGATCGGGGGGGGCGGGGAGGTCCTGGGATGGAGCAACACGGGAGGCCTGCTTTTCACTATCTCTCTCTGTCAAAATCTTTTAAAGTACAAGAAAATGGACAGTAAAGAAACATTAGGGGCTGGAGTTGGGTATTAGCAATTGGTTTGGAAGAGTTCAGGGATTAGGAATCAACAGCGTCTCACCAATGCCATAGGAGACTTTGAGGGGGCACTGGCGGGAGAGCAGGCCCACACCACTGTACCCTTCCTTGTCTGAAGGAGCTGACCAGTACTGATGGGATAGTCCAGGTAACTCTTGAAGTTCAGCTGGTAGTTTGTTCTCCGAACATTTGGTCTCTTGGAGGCAGAGGATATCTGGGGCTTCTTCCTTTACCCACTGTGAGTGAAATGAGAAGTAGAAAAAGTACTGTCAATTCAGACATTTACTGAAGACTCTGTGCCAAGTACTAGAGCTACACTGCTTAGACACAGTCACTGCTTAAGTTTGAGTCTAGTAAGCATGGGGTGCCTGGGTGGCTCAGTCGGTTAAACGTCTGCCTTCAGCTCAGGTCATGATTTCAGGGTCCTGGGATGAGCCCTGGGTTGGGCTCCTTGCTCAGTGGGGAGTCTGCTTCTCCTCCGTTTGCCCCCACCCCGCCTTGTGCACTCACTCTCTCATAAAGTATTAAGAAAAAAATCTGGTAAGCACAACATCTAAACAACTGGAAAAAGATAAAATGTTACATTCAATACTGAAGAGATTGTATTTTTTCATAGGCAATAGATGACACGTTAAGATTTTCAAGCAGTATTTTTACAATTTTAAGTAAACTCCGGGCCACATGTGGGGCTCCAACTCACGATGCCCCAACTGAACCAGCCAGGTACCCCTAAACAGTAGTTATTTAAATGAGAAATATACTGGAGATGAAATGAAACAAGTCCAATAACAAGGTTTTTGTAATATGCTGGGGAAGAGATGAAGCCATTAATTAAAACAATGGAAATGGAGTTGAAAAAATGGACACTTCAGAAATACAGTAGTTCTGGGGCGCCTGGGTGGCTCCGTCGTTAAGCGTCTGCCTTCGGCCCAGGGTCCTCAGATCGGGCTCCCTGCTCTGCAGGAAGCCTGCTTCTCCCTCTCCCACTCCCCCTGCTTGTGTTCCCTCTCGCGCTGTGTCGCTATCAAATAAATAAAATCTTAAAGAAAGAAATACAGTAGTTATAACTTGGTGAAGCCCCCTCCTTTCAACTCTTACACAAAAAAACTACACAAAGGAAAAATAAAACCTACATGGGACTAAAATGGGAAAAGGTGGTTAAATCACAAGATCATGCAATACTAAAGAATGTCCCTTCCCACTCCCTGTATTCCACTCACATCTAAACCTTTCTTCTTAATCCAGGCCCGAAGCCCATCCACATTCCAGGAGCAGATCTTGAGGGTGGCCGATTTACCATTGGGCGAGGTTTTCTGATCTGGGGGGTCCTCATACAGGACTGGCCCCTCTCCTGCCTCTTTTTCGTTTTTCTTTGTTCCCACCTTACTCTTCTTGGCTTCTGGCTCTATAAGATAATATACATTGATAAAAAGTTGACAAAAAGCAACTCTGATCCCATTTACTATAGACCCACTGAGAGCCTAAAGTTGCTGCGACTTTACAAACTGCAAGAACACAAAGTAGGTTCCCACTTCCCGTTCACCGAAGGAATCGGAAACACCCCCCCCCGGCAGTCTCTAGGGAGAGGGGCTCATTTCGTTCTCTTACCAATCTTGGGTTCTTCCCTGTCTTCTGCCACAGCTCCCTTTTTCCCACGCTTCGGCATCACTGTAACGAAAGCCCTCCTGAACCTGTACCACGTCGCCCACCGAAGCAGTATTTTTACCGCGTTACCTGCAGACGAGAGGCCGTGAAACCAACTAAGGCTGGAGAAAGACTCCTCCCTCGGGCGCCCCGAACTAGGTACCACCTTTCAAACCATATTATCTCTGAATCCTTTCCCCGCCTCCAGGCACCACAGGCCCTCCAGCCCCTCACCCACAAGACTAGATCATTTCAGGGTGCCTTGAGCCGTCCTCGCGAGATCTGCCCTCCGGGCAATCGAGGGCCTTAATTTAGGGTTCTGATTTAGGCTTGCGAATCAGACGTCCAAGAAGCCCCTCTGCTGGGCAAACAAGAGCAACCCTGTATCTGACCTGCTCGGGACTCAGCCTGGCTCCTCCTCACCCGAGCACAAAGAGTCGTGCACGCTGTGCCCCACGTGGGTAACTGGAGCGGTCACGTGACACGAGGCGCTCCGCCTCAGGTGGAGGAATGCGTGTGATTGGCCTGTCTGTGACCACGTGACAGAGAGGCTTGGCCTTCCCCGCTCCCCTCCTCCAAGTCTCCAAGGGACTGAAGGCCCCAGCCTTTCATTCTTGGGCTGTTTATCGGTGTGCCAGATGAACGACTCATTCTGCCACCCCGACCGAAGATTCCCAGTGCTGGGCAAGAGGGAAAAAAATCAGTGGAGATGTCTGGGCTGAACCACGGGAGAGAAGTAAAGGAATGGATAGGAATATAAGGAGCAGATGCCGGCTCAGCGTCCCTGGCGGTTAGGAGGACAGGTTCTTGAAGGGGCCTTGACGGGGGCGGGGCTGGCGCGGGCGCGCGACCCGCGGGAGTTCTCTGGGGGGTTAGTCTGGGGCGCGCTGGTGCCCGGCACTTGGGGCTTGTAGTCTTCCTGTGCGTTCCGGAATCTGCGGCCCGGCGCGGCCTGGTGAGGGCTCCCCGGCTCCGGTGGTACCTAGCCCTGCGGTTGTTTTCTCCCAGGCTGGGCCATGCCGGTGGTGCTGGGGTTTGAAGGCAGCGCTAACAAGATTGGTGTGGGAGTGGTCCGGGATGGCACGGTGCTGGCGAACCCGCGGCGGACTTACGTCACGCCTCCGGGCACAGGTGCGTGTGTGGGGAGCTTAGAGTTCACCGCGCGCTTCTCCGCACGGCAGCACCTTCCATCTGCCTAAACGCTAGCAAAGTAGGGCGTGGAGCGCATTGTCCCCTCGTAGAATTTTTGATCCGAGTCTCTAAGATTTATGTGACAGTATTAACATCACAAGGCTGATGATTAGAAGAGTCGCAGGCACTTGGACCTGTATCTTCTGGGTTTGTTTTGCTTTTATTGAGCGCCTTTTATATGCTAATCGGCTGCTGGATACAAAAGTAGATGTTACGAACTGCTATAGAGTCGGACATACAAGCAAAACTTTACAGTATGAACAGTTTAACGTAGATGCAATCAGAATTATCTAGAATGAGAAGTGTAAAGACTTCCACCTTGGGGGTTAGGAACAGCAATATTTGTATTCAGTATTTGGTTTTGGACTTACGTTCCTTACTCTTTAAATGTAAATAATACCTGCATTATTGGGTCTTGAGAGATAAATGAAATTACCAAACATATTACGGCTTTTAACAAATGTTATTTCTAAGTTATTAGGTTGTATTTTGTCTACCCTCCCCTAAAATCCCTGCATATGAAGGAGAAGACAACTGACTAGCTTATACCTGAAAAGCCTCCCTGAACAGGTGATGTTGTGACAGGTTACTCGTTAGAAAAAATATGTATCTTATGTTTAGCACTCACTCTTTAGGCATTTTGGCACCAGGAATACAAAGATAAATAAAATAGCCAGTGTTTTATGATGCTCATGGTAACTGGGAAGCTACAAATAATTTTCTAATTCTTATATATCTAATACAATGTTTAAAGTATAATCATGTGAACATGCATTGGGTTTGTAGGGTCACAGAGATCACTAACGGGTATTAGGCAGGTATCACTGGAATTGAGTCCTGAAGACTGAGTAGGAGTTGGGTATGAAGAAGGGCATTTCTTTCTTTCTTTCTTTCCTTTTTTTTTTTTAAAGATTTTATTTATTTATTTGACAGAGAGAGACAAAGCGAGAGAAGGAATACAAGCAGGGGGGAGTGGGAGAGGGAGAAGCAGGCTTCCCGTTGAGCAGGGAGTCCAATGCGGGGCTCAATCCCAGGACTCTGGGATCATGACCTGAGCCGAAGGCAGAGCCACCCGGGCACCCCAAGAAAGGCATTTCTGAGAGCCGATAAGCCTAGCCGAACAGGCTAGAAAGAGTGTATCTGAAAACTTGAAAGACAAGATGCTTGAGGAGGGTGAGAGGGACTCTTCTACACTGTGTAAATGTTAAAAACAAAATAGCCAGTTGTTTTACCAGGAAAATGGGTTTATTCAGGAATAGTAGAGAATTGCAGTTTGGATCAGGGAATCTATGGCAAAACCATGGACGAGTCTGGAGAACGAGCAAAAGGGGTAGTTGGGAGGGGCTCTAATTTTAAAAAAGTCCATTGATGGGGTGCCAGGCTGGCTTAGTCAGAAGAACATGTGACTCTTGATCTTGGGGGTTGTGAGTTTAAGCCCAATGTTGGATGTGGAAATGACTTAAATAAGACTTTAAAAAAAAAGAAAATCTTAAAAAGTCCATTAAAGTAAACTCAGAATTCCAAGTGTAGTGGCTTTTTATTGGCTGGAAAATCTCTTCCTCTTGCTGGGGTGGTAAGTTATAGGCTTCTTCCTGTTGGGAATGCAAGGTGTGTTTTCTTCCCATTGGGGTCTGCAATTGAGAAGGAGTGGTAGGGTGTGAAAGCTTCCCCTTCTGGCCTCCTGACTCCATTTTAAATGAGATTTCTTTTACTCTGTTTCACAACTACCTAAACAGCTGCTTTTGACTTCTACCTACCTTTGCTATAGAAAAACCCTATGATCTCTGACCTGTGTCCATCTCCTAGGATTCCTTCCAGGTGATACTGCTAGGCATCACCGAGGTGTTATCCTGGACCTGCTACAGGAGGCACTGACGGAGGCTGGATTAACCTCCCAGGATATTGATTGCATTGCCTACACCAAAGGTATAACTGGGAGAGTGGTTGACAATGGAAGACTATACCTGGAGCTTGGCTAGGTTAGAATAGCCCGCTGCTCTCCTCTCCTACCACCAGTACCCCTACTTCACCTCTCACATCCCTTACTTTCCCCAGCTCTGGTTTTCCCATTGTCCATAGGATTCTGACTCCCATTTCTGTCCCCCCTAGGCCCTGGCATGGGTGCCCCACTGGTTTCTGTGGCTGTTGTGGCCCGCACTGTGGCCCAGCTGTGGAATAAGCCATTGCTGGGCGTGAACCACTGTATAGGCCACATTGAGATGGGCCGCCTTATCACTGGAGCCACCAGCCCAACTGTGCTGTATGTCAGCGGAGGAAATACACAGGTATTTGGAGTACTCCATCATTCCCTCTTAATTTCTAAGGCACTGTACCAGCAACTTTCATGTGGTACCTCAGTGGTGGTAACTGCAAGAACAAAGCTGGGCTCATCTGAACCTAAAATGTTATACGCTAGAAAACTCACAAGAAAGTTTGTAGTATTGTAGATTTGGGCAGGATGATCACAGTGTTGGATGGCATTCATTCATTCATTTATTTATTTATAAGATTGTATTCATTTATTTGAGAGAGAGCATGAGCAGGGGAGAGAGGCAGAGGGAGGGGAATCTGCTCTGGGAATCCTCAAGGTACATATAGGCTTCTGAGATAAGAGCTATGAGAAAGTACCTATTCGGGGTTTGGGTGAGTTCTTTTGTTCCATTTTTTATTGGAAGCTGCAGCGGCATATTGATCCTCTGCTGTGTTCTTCCCCAAAGCCAAATACTCCTCTTTACAGACTTGAGGTTTCATGGACATCCTCATTACCCTTAGGTGATTGCATATTCAGAACATCGTTACCGCATCTTTGGGGAAACCATCGATATTGCTGTGGGTAATTGCCTGGATCGTTTTGCTCGAGTGCTGAAGGTAAGCCACGGGGGCTAGAGAAAACATAAGGTGTGATTAAATTCTGGGGAGCCATGGAAATGGAAGTAGAAAGTAGTAAATTAGCTTCTTTTGCTTCCTGGATATCTGACTCCTTCCCCTTTTCCCTTCTGCTAGATTTCCAATGACCCAAGTCCAGGCTACAATATTGAACAGATGGCAAAGCGGTAAGGGGTTATAAGGTGGAAGGAGGCCGACTGGTGGGGCTTCCGGGATTTCCCTGTATATACAGTAAGGAGGTTTGGGAGGACTTTGGAAGGTGAGCAGCCAGCTGACTAGAGGCTTAGTGCCTCATACGCTCACTCCCACATAGAGGCAAGAAGCTAGTTGAGCTGCCATATACAGTAAAAGGGATGGACGTCTCATTCTCGGGGATCCTGTCTTTCATTGAGGTGAGTGTGGGACAGGTGAAGAGAGAGCACTGTCATGCTTTTCAATGAGGCATATCTGTTTTGTTCACCATTGTATTTCCTGCCTATAGTTTAGTTCTGGTCTATGTTGGATGCTGAATAAATTCATTTAGTAAATATTTATTAAACATTTTCTGTGTGCCAGGCACTGTTCTAGGCAGTAGCAGTACAGGATAGAGCAAAATAAAAATCCCTGTGTACTTGGAGCTTACGTTCTAATGAGGGAGGGGGGTGACAAATAAAGAAACAAGCCGGGGGAAATAATAAAAAGGGTCAGCTAGTGATAAGCGTTATGGAGAAAGTTAAGCCGAGTAAGGGGTTGGGGGATTGTGGGTGCCAGGGCAGGCATTTGTAATTATTGAATCCCGAATGAATGTTGCCCGTTCTATAGCTCAGTGCCAGTGAAGAGCAAAGTGTGATGTAGACACACCGGTAAGTTGAATTGTGGTGAGACACGGTGATCCTCCAGGTGCACTAATTTTTGCTCTCATGTCATCCCCAAACCACAGCTCACTGTTTTATTTATTTTTTTCATCTTTAATTATAGGATGTAGCCCAGCGAATGCTGGCCACAGACGAATGTACTCCTGAGGATTTATGTTTCTCTCTGCAGGTAATGGGATAAAAAGCTGGGAGAGAAAGTTGGGACTGGAGGAGCTTTTATATAGTAGAGCAGAACTAAGCTGGTCTCTCCTCTGGTGTTCTCATTTTATCTGTCGCCCACAGGAAACTGTGTTTGCAATGCTGGTAGAGATCACAGAGCGAGCCATGGCACATTGTGGCTCCCAGGAGGCCCTCATCGTGGGAGGTGTGGGGTGTACGTATCATTGAACTGTGTCCCTCTTTTCCTGTTCTTGGACATTAGCGTCTCCCTCCTGCTAGTCTAAATCTCTTAAGGGTTTGGGGAAATTAGAAGTTTCTGCTTCCCAACCCTTGCTCCCTAAACCCCTACTTCATCTTTGTAAGTAGACACACATGAGGTGTGTTTGAGGTGTACAGCTGAATCATGCAGAAAGGGTTAAACCAAGCCAACCCAATCCCCTCCCTCTTCATAGGTAATTTGAGGCTACAGGAAATGATGGAGACAATGTGCCAGGAACGTGGAGCCCGGCTTTTTGCCACAGATGAGAGGTAAAGGTCCTTTCCCTTTCTTGATTTCTTCTTTTTTTTCTCCACTGATTATGATTCTCCACCCGCGAATTCCAAATTTCTTATCTTTTTTCTTCCCAGATTCTGCATTGACAATGGAGCCATGATAGCTCAGGCTGGCTGGGAGATGTTTCGGGCAGGGCACAGGACCCCACTCAGTGATTCTGGGATCACACAGAGGTGTGTACCCTTCTGGAGGGGGTAGATAGGATTATATGGGAGGTAGGCAAAAATCAGCAGGGAAGAGGGTCCAGAATCATGAGGGTAGAGCGGAAGAAACTAAGGGGTAGCTGTCCACCAGGTTTTCTGTGTTTTTTCACAGGTATCGGACAGATGAAGTAGAAGTGACCTGGAGGGACTAATGAGGTTAACAGGATCAGAGTAGATAGTGCCCTAAGTGGAGCCTCCAGGAACTTGGGCCTTAATCTCTATCCTGAGCTGGGTGTCCTGGCAAGGCTGTGGACTCCTGTCTCCCATCCTTTGAACCTCAAGTTGACTCAGCAATAAAATAAAATATTTTTGGTTTTTTATGTTGGTAATTGGCTTGGGTTACTCAAGAATGATACAGAGTTGGCCCTGGATAAATTCCTGTTGATGGGGTGAGTGGATGAGGAGGCAGGGGTCAGAGCAGGGCCTTGGCTGACCAGGGCTGCTGCTCTGAGCTAAGACGGACAGGACATCTTAGATGCTCACCTAACATCCCCATAATAATAGTGTTAGCATTACTAGTACTATTTTAGTGTCCTGCTTTGTGCCAACTGCGTTGTGTTTGTCATCTCATTTACTTTCTCTGAAGTAGGTTCTCAGGACTTGCCTCAAAATAGCCTGGAGCCAGGTCTCATTCTGTACTAATTTATAACTGAAGAGCAAAACTGTTCCTCCTCCATGCACTTACTCCTGCATACTCCTCCATACACTTCCAGGGGCAGGCTCGTGAGGGTGCCCCGAATCCTCCTGCCCTGTCACAGCTGCCGGAACTAATGTCATCATGGCCTTTATCTTGTTTGTCAGTCACCACCAGAAGTCCCAAACTACCACGTCACCTCCCAGCTTTGCACTCTAATAACCATTACTCTCCACCCCTTTTTTGTTCCTCCTGAAATTCTTCTGTGCTCTCTGGAACTAATAGCTGGTTATTAGTAAAATTACCTGTATCCTCAACCTCTCTTCTGAATGTTCTCTTTACATTCCTGCTCAGAGCCCCGGTGTCTCCTGAGGACTCTGCTTCTCCTACCGCCTCTAGTGGTGCTGTTTTCTCTCCCCCACATCCTCTGTACCCCTGGCCCTGGAGGTGGTGGTGTGGGTGTCCTCATTTTTAGTCATACTATATTCAGTCCGTTCCCTCTCATCCCTGTCACACCTTAGCTTTGAAACGTATCATTCTTTTTTTTTTAAGATTTTATTTTATTTTTTTTAAGATTTTATTTATTTATTTGACAGAGCACAAGCAGGGGGAGTGGCAGGCAGAGGCAGAGGGAGAAGCAGGCTCCCTACAGAGCAGGGGGAGCCCGATGTGGGACTTGACCCCAGGACCCCAGGATCATGACCTGAGCTGAAGGCAGTAGCTTACCCAACTGAGCCACTCAGGTGCCCTGAAACACGTATCATTCTTAAGACTACACCATGCCACAACTGCTCCTGTCAGATCTCAATTTTAGGGGCGCCTGGGTGGCTCAGTTGGTTAAGCATCTGCCTTCGGCTCAGGTCATGATCCCAGGGTCTTGGGATTGAGTCCCATGTTAGGCTCCTTGCTCAGTGGGGAGTCTGTTTCTCCCTCTCCCTCTGTCCCTCCCCCTCGCTTGTGCTCTCCCTCTCTCTTAAATAAATAAATAAAATCTTTAAAAAAAACAAACCCAGATCTCAATTTTAGTACCTGCATGGATCATCCTTCTAATACTCTGGTCTCAGCTCTGTGCTCCTCCGGTGATCTTGTCCTCCGCCCCCACTGCAGCTACTCATTCCGTCGGTCCTAGTCTCGACCTGCAGCTCCTCCATATCTCGATCTCAGACATCCCTCCTGTCCTTTCAGCTCATTCCCTTTAGTGCACTGAATCTAACAGTTCTCTTTATCAGGCCCTGCCATCTGTTGATCTTCCTTTCCACTGACCTCATCCCCTACGTGTCTTCATTTCCCTCTGGCTAAACTCCAGTCATGAGCACTTCACTACAAACGCCTCACCTCCTTTGTCTTTCTTTTTTTTTTTTTTTTTTAAGATTTTATTTATTTAGGGTACCTGGGTGGCTCAAGACGGTTAAGCGTCTGCCTTCAGCTCAGGTCATGATCCTGCGGTCCTGGGATCGAACCCCACATCGCTTCTCCTTCTCCCTCTGCTGCTCCCCCTGCTTGTACCTCTCTCTGTCTAATAAAAAAATTAAAAAAAAAAAGATTTTATTTATTTATTTGACAGAGACACAGCGAGAGAGGGAACACAAGTAGGGGGAGCGGGAGAGGGAGAAGCAGGCTCCCCGTGGAGCAGGGAGCCTGATGTGGGACTTGATCCCAGGACCCTGGGATCATGACCTGAGCCGAAGGCAGTCGCTTAACCGACTGAGCCAGCCTTTCTTGTTTTTGTCATGCTTCAGCTCTTCACATACTTGATTCCTAGAGCCACGCAGCTGAAAGGGCTAGCGAAAAACAGGCTGACTCGTCTTACGTTAAATCCGTCATCCCAAAACTTAGGCCACCTTGCAATATTCCCTAGTCCTTTCAGTTGCTCTCTTTCCAATAACTGTTTTATACTCTCTGTCCCCTCAAATCTATATCTTTCCTGATTCTCACTTTTTGGCTCCTATTTTAGTGAGAAAGAAGCAATCAGAGAACATTCACGAGCTCCCACCAGTATATCTAGCTTTTTATATTCCTGCTCAGAGAATGTACTTATTTATTCCAGCATTTATTCCAATGTACTCTGCTTTCCCTTCTGTTCCTGTATTAACAGTATACTGTTAATACCTGTTACTGTATACTCAGTTGGGATTGATTTTGCTCCCCTGAGGACATTTGGTTGTCACAACTGGGAGACAGGGCTGCTGGGTAGAGGCCAGTGATGCTGCAAAATACCCTGCAATGTACGGAACAGCTCCCCACACAAAGAATTCCTTAGGCTAAAACGTCACTGGTGTCAAGGTTGAGAAACCATGCCATAAACAAACTGTCCATGCTCCTGTCCAACTACTTTTTTTTTTTAGATTTTATTTATTAATTTGAGAGAGAATGAGAGCCAGAGAGCACAAGAGGGAAGAGGGTCAGAGGGAGAAGCAGACTCCCTGCTGAGCAGAGAGCCCGATGTGAGACTCGATCCCGGGACTCCAGGATCATGACCTGAGCCGAAGGCAGTTGCTTAACCAACTGAGCCACCCAGGCGCCCCTGTCCAACTACTTCTAAGGTCTATCCCATCCTCTAGCCTTTCAGGACATCTCTCAACAGTTCTCTCTCCTCTTCTGTAGAGTCCATATTTCCCTTTCTTTCCTACATCTTCTCAGCACACAGTTACGCTTTCATTTTCCTCATCTTAAAACACACGATTACCTCTTGAGCCCATTTTCCCCTTTCAGTTGCTTCCCATTTTTCTGCTCCATTTTATAGCAAAACATCTTAAGTTGTTCCCAGTTCCTCTCAGCCAACTCCCTATGAAGTCCACTCCACCAAGGCTGTTCTTTTTTTTTTTTTTTTTTTAAGATTGTATTTATTTATTTGAGAGGGAGGGAGAAAGAGCACACGTGTACATGAGCAGGGGGAGGGGCAGAGGGAGAGGGAGAAGCAAACTCCCCGCTGAGCAGGGGCTAGATCCCAGGACCCGGAGATCATGACCTGAGCCACCCACCAAGGCTGTTCTTATCACGGTCACCAATGACTTCACATAGCTAACTCTAATGGCATATTCAGCTTCATCCCGTGAAGGCGATCAGCAGCGTTTGACACTCCCTCTTTGAAACATTTTCTTTACTTGGCTTTAGGACACATTCTCTGGTTTGCCTCCTCGCTTACTGACTGCTCTTTGTCTCCTTTGCTGCTTTCTCCTCATTTCCACAAGCTAGTAACTCTAGGGTTCAATCCTTGGACCACTTCCTTATTTACACACAGCTTCAGTGATTTCGTCCAGTCTTATACATTAAAAACCATTTTTTTTTTTTTTAAGATTTTATTTATTTGACAGAGACACAGCGAGAGAGGGAACACAAGCAGGGGGAGTGGGAGAGGGAGAAGCAGGCTTCCCGCAGAGCAGGGAGCCTGATGCAGGGCTCGATCCTAGGACCCTGGGATCATGACCTGAGCCGAAGGCAGGCGCTTAACCAACTGAGCCACCCAGGTGCCCCACATTAAAATCATTTCGATGTGGATGACTCCCAATATTTTAGCCCCAACCTGGACTTCTGTTCTGAATATCTAGCTGCCGGTTGGCATCTCAACTTGGATGCCTGATAGGCATCTCAAATTTGGCATACACAAAACTGAGCTTTTTTTCTCCCCATCTTCATGCTGCAGACTTCCCTATTTCAGTGAATGACAACCCCATTCTTCTAGTTGTTCATGTCATTGTTCATGTCAAAGCGTGCTGGTGTTATCTGGCACCTCTTTTTCATCTCATCCAATTCATCAGATCACACCGACTTTACCTTCAGAATATATCCAGAATCCTGTTTCTTAACTTCCACTTCTGCCACCCTGGACCAAGCCAGAATTCTCTGTCTCTGAGATTATTGCAGTAGCTGGTGTATCTGCTTCTCCCACTGTCCACTTAAGGTCTGTTTTCAACACAGCAGCCAGAGTGAATAGTGTTACTGTAGAAGCCAGATTATGTCACACTGCTGCTCAAAACCCTCTGTGTCTTTCTATATTGGAGTAAAAAGTAGAGTCCTTCAAAGGCCTGTGAGACCCTCCATGATCTGCCCTGCCTCTTTCCACTTACTGTTTTGATCTCATTTCCTGCCACTCACCTTGTTCACTCTGCTCCAGCAACAGTGGCCTTTTTGTTTTTCCTTAAACACTGAAGATGTGCCAACCCCTCACGGTCTTCGTACTTATTGCTTCCTCTGCCTTGAAAGCTCTTCAGCTAGAGCTTGTTCCATCAGTCTTATAATCTTTGTCTTTGCTCAGTGTTTTTTCTGTTTCTAGTGAGGCCTTCCTGACAACCCTACTTCAAATTACACTCCTCCAGCACTTTCTAGCCCCCTTCCCTGTTTTATTTCACTTCATAGCACTTACCACCTTTTTTTTTTTTTTTTAAGATTTTATTATTTGACAGAGACAGATCACAAGTAGGCAGACAGGCAGGCAGAGGGAGAAGCAGGCTTCCCACCGAGCAGGGAGCCCGATGCGGGACTCGGTCCCAGGACCCTGGCTTCATGACCTGAGCTGAAGGCAGACGCTCAGCCGACTGAGCCACCCAGGCACCCCTACCCTTACCACCTTCTAATCTAATAGTTTTTTTTTTAATCTTAAGTTTTATTTGTGTTTGTTGTTTGACTCCTCCCATTAGAATACAAACTCCATGAGACAAGAGATTTTTTTTTTGTTTTATTCATTGCTGTGTAATT